CCCGAATTTTTCATTTAGTCAGCTTCCTTCTAATTGGTGGTTTGGATTGGTTTGGAGGCTGCTGGTGTCCCATTTACCCTCTACACGAATATTGAACTGCTTCTGAAGCAGGCTTCTCAAGCAGTTCAATTCCCCAATTCCCAGCCATCCAAACTGAGGGTTACCTGATTTGGGATTCGATTTGCCAGGGCCCACCATCAAACAACACGTGGCCGACCTTCCAATAGATTCTCGTTGAAAAAGGCCGGGGTCCGAGACTGAGAACTCAGACCGGACCGAGACTGATCTTTTGCCGCACTCAGTGCGATGTAAGTCTCTCACACGGTCGGGCACTGCGGACGCTGGTGAAACCGAAGCCAAAGTCTCAAGCTGTGAGCAGAGGCAGCTGGGTGAGCACTCTGAGTCTGCCCAACCGCGCAGGTCCCAGTGGCTTCGTGCGCCTTCATTTCTGAAATGCCTTGCTCGGCCCCCTCCGAAAGCTTTCCAGTCGGGCATTTTGCCTTGAGACTTGCGCGCCTTCCCGCTATTGTCAACAGCTTGCGGACTGAGGAGGGCTTTTGGGGCATATCGGGCCTCTCAAAAGGTTCCTCAACACCAAGTGCCTGAAGAGGTCCTGAATTTTGAGAACCCCCTCCCGCCCGTATGGGTAATGGTAGTATGGTGCGACTTATTTTGAGACGAGGAAGGCGTTTTCTTGCCGGGGGAACTTTCCCCAGTTTCAGGCCCCGCCCCATCGGGACAGGCAAGTGACTCATACGACTCTATCTCCCATTCGCAGAGGCGGAAACACGCCTCCAGTCTTCGCTGGAATTAGGACCCCAGCAAAAAACAAACTATGTTTTGCCTGCTTAGTGGACAACAAAGACGACCCCAAAAACAAAAACAAAAAAGGGGGGCTAATTCTGGGGAAGGCAGTCACAGCCATCCCAGAAAATGCCAGTTACTCATAACAAGACATGGTCCTTTTCCGTTGATTTTGAAAAATGCTGCCCTATGGAAAATAGATCCGGGTATGATTCAAACGAAAACGCGCACAACAACCGCATGAGGCAAATGGAAGATCGTGAAACGGCGATCCTATGTCCCAGCTCCGCGGACCTCGAAAAATTGCCTCCGAATTTATGGAGACGCCATGACAACCTGTGTCAGGCTTTCGGCGAGGGTCCAGAACCTGACGGCGCAGCGTTTAGGCGTGTTTTATGTTTTAGGGGGGTGGCTGGGGTCTCCTCAAAAAGCTATGTTTGGGTTAACTCAGGCAGAATCTGAAGGTGTCACTTGTGCATGCCCATTGCAACCGCAGGCTAAACAGATTGGTGCAATGCGCTGCTACTAGGAGCACCTTGCTGAAACTTGTGCATCGCAAAAAACAAAAACGATGCAAACTGAGGGCGGGGCTACGATGCCCATGATGATGCGCATGATGCGTGTGTGAAAGAATCTGGGTCAACTTCAAGTCCACGTCGCCTTGAGCACAGTGCACTTTTTTTCCCCAACGGCCGAAAGCTATGGGGCCTCTGCCCAGCCAGATAGGCTCTGGGGTACTTTGGAGCAGGGTTCTGGAGAGTTCCAGGCAGTTCGGAGCGGTTGGGGATATCATCTGGGCTTATTTTGGCAGTTGATTGAACAGAGAAACCCCCTCCAAAAGAAGAAAGCACAAGTTAACCCACTTCAACAAAATGCGAAAGCTAAGGAAAACAGAAACCTTCTGTTGCTCGATTGTACGAAAGGACCTCCCATCCAAAAAAGCGGCAAATAGGGGCAAATCAGGGCGTCTACAGAAAATGCCAGCAGGAACCATGGAAAACCTTGGTTCCACGGGACAAAACCTCCTCAACCAAATGGTTTATCCCAGTCTCCGGGCACAGAAACCCTATCCCAACCGGGTGCCCGGTGCCCGGTTTTCTTTGGTTCCGCTGGCAGTGCGACTGCCACCGAGATACTCATGAAGCTGATGAAACGCCGGCTGGCCTGCAAGCAAGGCGAAGGTTGACCCCTTATTAATCATGGACCCTCCAGGGGAGGCTATGGGGAGGGGGCGGCTCCCTTTTTTAAGCCAGTAGTAAGGCCTTATTAAGGGCTTATCCTTGGGTTAATCCTGGGCCCATCCAGAGATAGCCCCCCCCCAAGATTCCATGAATTAATCAACCCCAGTTTATTCATTCAGGGAGGTACAGCATCGAATCAAGAACCGCAATCGAAGCCTTATCAGAATCGAACCGCCCCCATTGACAATCGAACCGGGGTCATCCTGTTAACTTGGGGTGTTCCCCTCCAAAAGTGGTCAGATTACCCACATTTCACGCAGGGACATCCCCCAAGAATAAGCTGGGGCTGATTCATATGGGGTCGACCTTCTGTCCTCGAGTCATCGCAAGCACGGAAGGCCTTCCAATTGATGTGGGAAAGGACCCCGCCCTTGCCACAACTTGCGTTCCGAGGCCCGGACGACTTTGCACGACGTCAAAATGAGCCAGACAATGCATTCCCAAAAGAAAAGGGGGCACGAAGTACACGTATTCATGTGTGCATAGATGTATCTGCCCAGGGCCTCTTGCACTCGACATGGGCCAAGAGGGCTTAAAGCACTGCACGCCAACTTTGCGGCTTGGTTTCGTCCCTGGAAACTTTTGAGATCCAAAGCGCCAAAGCCAGCCAGAACCAAGTTGTGAACTTAGTCAACCTCCTTATTTGGAGACCGGGAAGCGGCAAGGAGCAACTCACAAACACAAACGAGGCCAACCTTCTTGGGCCATGGGGTGTGATTCCCCTTTTCTTCGAGGCGCAGAAACCCTTTGTTGGGAACCAACAGGAAAACCACCAATTTGGAGGGGTCCCCCCAAAAACACAGACTCATCTAAAAAGTTGTTCCAGGTGGGTGGAATCAGCTGTCAATCGACTTCCTGATGTAGGCAAATGGATCACCACCCTTCAAGACCTACAGGGCTAAACAACAAGTCAAGTCGCATTGGATAGCTGCCAGACCTTCCGAGCTGCCTGCCTAACCAAAGCGTTCAACCTTTTTTTTGCAGACTAAGATGACGTTTGGCAATCTCGCCTAGGTCCTCCAGATTTGAGAGGTTAGAAAAAGGGTACCAACTTTTCTGTGGTCTATTTTAGTAGGGGAGCCCTCCCCCCAAAAAAAGGTGAGAGCTCGGGCACCTAGCTGGGGCACCGAGTGGCCAAACAAATTTTGAGCTGGAACACCGAAGCGAAGCCCAATTGCCCCAAGGACCTAACAACACGCTAGCCTTTCGGGGCCCCAAGGCCAAAAAAAAACCAATTCGAAAACCCACAGGCTACAAGGTCGATTCCATAGGTGTTCTTCTAGGGGAAATAGATGGGTTGCCCTGGTAGATGATTAAACCACCAGGTACACCAGGAATCGCCATCTACTTTTCGAGCAAAACAACCAAAAGGCTACAAGGTCGATTCCCCTTGGACAAGTCGAGGAACGGCGAAGCTCCCTCGAGAGGCTCCCTCGAGACCTCGCGCGAAATGTTTTGTTTTTTTCCGCGCAGCTCGAATCCGGATTCGCCTTGCGCTGCTCTCGCAGCAACATGGCGAGGTCCATGGTCTTGGCCATGCCCTTCAGGCAGCTGCACCCAGACACGAACCTCGGATCTTGGGGAACTGGAAAATCCGGTCGAAAATCCAAGAAGGGCCCAGATCTGGGGTACGAATTCGATGTCCAACTTTTCAGATCCAGAAGTTACCCTTACAACATATTTTGGAGACATCACATAGGCACATCATCATATGCGTGTCACATGCATGCAGTACATGGTTGCCGCCATTTGCTTCATGTCGACCTGGCAGGTCTTCCATTACTAACTTAGACTTCGCACCACAAGCTCAAGCTATTACCTTGGTTGCTAGCGAGACCCCTCTGCACAAATTTAACTTGTGGATCCAATCCAGGAATATCCGAGCTGGTTCCACCAAGAAATTGCTCAGTCCAAAGATCCGCTAGCAGATAGCCAAAAAGCTTGATTAATTCCATTTTTAGTGTGTCCGGGACCCAAACAAAGGGTGGAATCCAGTACTTGAGTCCAAAAAAACATGAAGTAGAGACAACAAAAAACGGGGAATCCCCTTAAGAAGGACGAAACCATAATTTTGGGGCATCCAATTCCTAAAAACCAACGCAAAGCATATGGTCAGCTTTAAAGTTCAAAGGGGAAAACAAACCCCAAACCTCACCATTTGGGGGGGGGATCATCCTTTTTTTTGGTGGGGGACACACGGAAAAAGAAAGAAGAAAAACAACTTTTACAAGAGACGCACCCCCCCGACATGTTCGGAAAAAAAATCGCTTCCCTTCCCAAGAAGTCCACGAGTCACGTGCCACGACCCGACGACCCGACCGAAGGCCAAGCAGCTCCTCGACCTCGATGGCGCCGTTCCCGTCGGCGTCCAGCAGCCGGAAGAGCCGCACCGCCTCCATGCCGTCCAACTCCATGCCTAGCGAAGACGATGCGGACTGACGATCCACCCTGGGGCCCTTGAAACCAGAACAAAAATACCTGGTGTCGGTTGGAAAGGGTGATCAAAACCAGGTTTTCGTATAGAAGGTGGACCTGGAGATTAAGACTGGAGTAAAGGAAAGGCAAGAGCTTTGCTGCGTTTTGAGTATGGATTTGGTCTGGCCAAAAGACATCGGCGAGGGGCCCTGCGTTTTTCCATGGGAGTACTTGCAGGAAAATCTACAGGTGACTGTTGGGCTTGGCGTTTTAACTTCTAAGGGTGGAAGTACATAGCCCTTGTCCATACCAGTCCGTTGGCTCCTCTGGTTTCCGACCCACGGTTTTTTATAGGTATATACCCCCTTTTAAGGAGAGGGGTATGAACATCAGCAGGCCTCGCAGGGGTTCATTTCCCCAAGGGGTATGTAACTGCACAAACACTCAGCTGATTCATCTAGAAATCGGCTCGGAGCGGTTTGGAGCAGATTTTCAGGGAGGCTTCCGGAGATTCGGTTGGGAGTTCCGGGGCGGGAATACCACCTGGGCTCATGTTTCTTGCTTCCTTCTACTTCTACTCAATGTTATTAAAACAAGTTCCGGGCGTACGACGTGGGCTGAACTTATGTTTTTTGTTGTTTCTACTTGATGTCATTGTTTAGAAGTACAACAACTTACCCCTTAAAACTCCAAGCCCTGCGGAAGTTTTCATCTTTTGCAGACATATAGCCCATGTTACCCAAAAAGTCGAGAACAGTTTTGTGTTTTTAAGAGGTAAGACAAAGCAAGTCGTTCTTTTCAAGCCTGGCTTTGGATGGTTTGGGGGCTGGCTGAGCTTCGCAGGTCACACGGAAGCTCAAGACTTGAACTTTGGCGGAGCCTCCATGGCCTGTGGACGTGGGTTGGATAGATAAGAACTCTGCCCAAAGAGCCTGGAACTAAAAGGGCCTTTTGGGGTCATGACCAAATATGGACCAAAATGGAAAAACCAAAAAGTCAAAAGGTCGGCTTTGAACAACGAAGATAAATATGGGTTGTTCAAACTAGGGAATAAATCCACCTGAACATTTCCTCGAAAAAGACTGACGCAAGCGTCTTTCGAATCTTGGGCTGGATCGTCTGATGGCTCTTGGATGTAAAAATGGGGTCAACAATATAGCGTAATTAGCTTCCCAAAAACCTGGCGAGGGGTCCTAAAAGAGCCAAAAGGAACCCCATTTAAACTGGTCACGAACGGTGATGCTTAAAACACCCCAATGTTGTGGTTGTGGTTGTCTTTGTTGATTGCGTTGGCATGTGATTGTGATTGTGATTGTGGTTGCTGCTGCTGCTGCTGCTGCTGCTGCTGCTGCCGCTGCTGCTGCGTTACAAATTGAAAGCTCCCCAAACGCCAGGCTGCTCTGCAGGAAAGCTTGCACGCGGACATCCTGCAAGTGAGTGGTGAACTCCTCGAAGGTAATCGTGCCGGATCCGTCTGCATCCGCCTCCGTGAAGACAGCCCGGGCGGCCTCTCAACAGAGACCAACCAGCCGAAGCAAAGCGTCCGGCGGTGTCGAATCCCCCCTACATTCAGGAGGAGGGGGGTAGCTGGGGGTGGGGACCCACCTCTCCAATTCCATTTTTAGGGGGGGGAGGATGGTTTCGAGTTCGCAGTTCAACAGCGGCCGTCTAGCCTGAAGTTTGCAGACCAACCCAAATTTGTCTCCTCACGCGCACGCACACGTTTCCAGTCCCAGAAGGGTCCTAAGAACTGCCGACGGGACACCAAGATTCGCTCTCGGATTGAAGCTCCGGCTGCGCTGGGCACATGTCGGAGGCATCCACATCACCCGACGCGAGAAGAGTGCTAGGAGAGCCCTCCAACACGGGCTCTTCAGGTACTGGGTATTCAAACTCTTGCCTACGAGGTGTGCGCGCAACTATATGACGTTGTTGCTTCTAGCATCGCACAAGACTTGGGAGAGGACGGACGGAAAGCTGGAACGGTTGTCACAAGTGCCAACGCCGCCGTTTCACCAGCCTGCTGAAACAAGTCCGCTGCAAATGGACCCCCCTGCTGTTGTTCAAACAGCTGCAAAACGCACCCATGGAACCCCGACTGAACTACCCGCCCCCCTTCCCCTGTGTCCGCGTTCTAATGGGGAAACGAGACCTGACCGTGCTGAAAAACTGGTTGCTCATATTCATGTGGCTGTGGGTCAAAAATAGGTACCCTCCTATTAATCAACCAGGCGTTTTTAAATCCGAGGTTTTTTCTCTGCCAAATAAAATGGAGCCTTGCCCAATCAAAATACACAGTCCCTATTGGAAACCACAAAGGGGACCCAATCCTTTCGCAGCTTGGGTAAGTACCTGGCGGATTGCCCAACTGAATAGCCCAAAAACGTTGGCACCCAACTGCATGGGCTGCGGAAGGGCGACACTAATACCAGGGTTTTTGATCCGAAAATCCTGGAACACAAAGAGCGGCGCCCCAAATCCGTTGGCTCCAAGAAAAAGTGTTGGATCCCCCTACCTTAAGGGGGGGGGGCGGGAGGGGTTCCGGACCCAATTCCATTTATCTAGTCCCCATCTGAGAACTGGCTTGCCACAAATGGCGAGCTCTTCAGGGCTCGCTTTCTCCCCCTCGCCCAATTCCATCCATTTCTCTTTGGACCCGGTCATATGCAGCGAGCGCTTTTTGCTGTTTCGGTCGCCTTGGCGTACTTGGATTGTTTGTCCAAGTAGTCCTGGATCACCAAATCCCGATCCTCGGCCGCCATCTTCATGGCGTACTCCACGAACCTGGAATCCAAGCAGCCAGGCGCGAGCGCCGGGCCCATTGGAGGGGTTCAACATGCCCACCTCCCATTTCGCAACAACCCAAACACACATTTCCTGTATGGGGCATTCCCCTGTAATGTGGGTGAACCGCTGGAAGCAGCGAAGAATTGGGCATGTAATGAGCGGGGTGCCTCAAATTCTCTGCAGAAATTCCGACTCTCATTGCCAGGTACTGCGAGGAACGGCTTCAGACTTCCTGCGCTGGTGGATCCGGGTATCCCTGCAAACTGCCAAAGACCTCCGGACTAGGAACGGGCTTGCCAGAAATCTGGTTGGAAACTCTTAGAATACACCTAAAACCCTTGAAACGTGGCAAGCAACAGCCACCCGGAACCCGGAAAGCTCGATTTGGAAAGCCTAGGCCCCCACTCCAAATACCCACGCTTTTGAGGGTGTGGCAAGCCCCCAAATAAAAACCATGGCAATCATGATTTTCAACATCAATTCCAAAAGCAAAAGGCCGCTCCATCCCACCCCAAACCCACCCACCGCCCACCCACCCAGCCACAAAGTCTGCTCGCCAAGAAGCACCGCAGTCACCACGTTCAGCACAGCCATTGCCACCAGCGCGATGAAGAACAAGTAACCTATCGCAGCCTTGGTTCGGGCGCCTTCAAACTGGCTATGGGTGCTTCTCAGCATATGGGATCAAGTTCTATGTTTACCACTAAAACGGTCTACCCCAAGAGCTTAAAGTCCGTTGGTTACCCTTTGAAGCTTCCCAAAGAGCCGCCACCCTGTCTTGAGACAAACCGCTATCCACTGTTGAGTCAAACTAGGAAAAGCCGGCCAACAACAAGTATGTCCCTTATAGTTTTCCTTCACACCAACCCCAAAAGGGTACTAGCACCTAGAAAAAAAGAAGAAAACAACACCTCACACACACAGACACGCAGACACGGACACAAACACACACAGACACGGGCACGCAAACACGGACACACAAACACGGACACACAGACACGGACACACAGACACGGACACACGCACACGGACACGGACACGGACACGGACACGGACACGGACACGGACACGGACACGGACACGGACACGGACACGGACACGGACACGGACACGGACACGCACACACACACACACACACACACACACACACACACACACACACACACACACAGAGAGACACTATGACACAAGAACACGGAGACACAAAGATGCAACAGTTGACTCGAAATAGTCCTGCTTGCATGGCTCTATATTGTACCAATGAGCTCATCAACATACGGATGCAGCCGCCCAACCATGACGTAAGACACAGTCCAACCTGACTTGCGCGAAAACAAGAGTCGAAGGGGCGCCCCGAACAACTACAGGTCCGCATGACTTGCCACAAATCCTGACTTGCCCAAAGGACCTGGAAAACAACAAGTTCGCCTTTTGGGACCTCCACTAAACATGGACCAACATGGGAACACCAAAAGGATACAAGGTCGGTTTGGGACAACTGCACAATCGGCGGGGTGGGGGGTGGGGAAGCGGTTCATGGCGAGCCACCGCCACGGTCTCATGGCACCGAGCTACCCTTTCCCCTTGGTTGCGGTCCTCTAAACTAGGCTGGAATTGGGACCCCAGCAAAAAGTTATCTTTTTTGCCTGGTTAGTGGAAAACAAAGGGACCCCAAAAAAGCAAAAAATGCGGGGAGCTAACCCTGGGGAAGTACAATGTGTGTGTGTGTTCAATGTGCTGTTGGTTTCCTTTTTTTAAACATAAAGAGAAAGAAACAAAAACAAAACTTGTGGGGCCCAATCCGCCAAATCCTCATTTAGTTTCAACCAATAAGTTAAAGTCCCAAGATCCGTTACCAACTCGCCATAAAGTGCCCCTGTCCTTTCAGGTCACAGAGTAGTTGTTCATGGTGATGAACACCGCTGCGGGCTCCCCCCAATCAAGGCCGCCAGAGACTGATTGGAACAGCACCTCAGTCACACAAAAATGCCGCCAGGCACGGGCTTTCAAACGAGGACCATAGGTGTCCTTTGTGACAAAAGTAGCTGGCCCTGGTAGATGATTGAACCAGGTTAACCAGGAATCGCCTCTATGTTTTAAGCAAGCAAAACGAACACCTATGGGTGAGGACGTTGTTCACATTGCTTCCGGCGCGAAATGGGGTTTTAGCATGCCCAAAGCGAAAGATCAAATCAACGGGCTCGCGCAAATCGCAGCGAAGGAAGGCGCGTGCCTTGAAAAGGCCAACTGGGCGCCCAAAACCTATCTACTTGTTGGTCCAATCGGGGTTTGATAGAGCTTCCTATAAGCTTTATGAGACTAGGACCTAGTCCTACCACCCAAGCTGGTAGAAATTAGGTGGTAGCACCTGCTAAAATGACCAGCGAGGGGGTCCTCAGCGCGCCCTTTGGCGCGCCGAGCTTGTGGAGGAAATCGAATTCAACCATCTGGGTTTGCTTTTAACTTGGGGGCCGAAGAATATTAAATGGATGTTCCTTTGTTGCCCGCTTGAAGCCAAAGCGTAGCAACTCACAGAAAGACACGCCCAGTCTTGAAGCTTCCCCAAGGCTTCGCAGGCCCTGAGGCGAGGACGTACAAGGTTGACCACAGGGAGCTGTAGTACCTCTTCACGCCCTCCAGGATCCTCAAGCTCAAACGTCGTCTTGACGTGGCATCTCAAGGCCCCAAACTGCAAAACAAAACCACCCAGTGCATCCCAGCTACTATAGGTACCCTCCTGTCCACATTGCCATGGAACCCACCAGCGAGTCGCTTTCAAAGGCAAACCAGCATGAGATCGTCTAAAACCAGGACCCCATGTGAATGCGAAGGTGACGAGTCGTATTTTGGCTGGTTCTCAGCATGGAATGAAGGAATGACCCCGATAAACCATCTCCTTCCCTTGGTTTAAGGGAATCCCTAGGTTCATTGCCAACACTCCCTACTGAGCACCGGCAAGTCCTCCTTTTAGCTTCCAAAAGGTGTCCGAGCCAGCCAGATTCATTGCCAAACTTATCTTCTCCCCTGCCCTTCCTCCCCCTAACAGAGCATTTGTGGGCGAGCACCTGGGAGACCAATTTCCTCAAGGGACCTCCTATCAGGTGCCATGTTAGGGGGAGGGACAGAAGCCCTTTGCGTGCTACACAGGGAAGTTCTAAGGTCCGGAAGCTGCACACATGAATCCGTCCAAGGATTTCGGAACTTTTCGCGGGGGGAAGCAATTGATAAAACCAATCGTTCGGCATTTCAACCGCCTCACCTTGCTTGCGCAAGGAGAAACTTCAGCTAGCTTCATTTTGCTTTCGGCGAACAAAATGCACTTTAGGTCCAAAAAAGGGACATTCAGGAACCCCTGAAATTGTCCGTTTCCTTCTCCATTTGTTCAACCCCAAAAAGGTTGCTCGAATAAAAACCGACGAGCCACCCATCATTTGCTGGTGCGATAAGCAGGGAATGTGGGAATGAACCCAGGGTTCTCTCAAAGGAAACCACCAGTTGGATGGCTTTCATTTCCTGGTTCCACTTCTCATTCGCATCTTTCGCACCGATGGCACGTTGCTCTAGGGGACACTTCCCCATTCTTTCCAGGGATCCGGATCTTTCTAGAAATCCTCCTTTGAAATCCAGGCAGAACGGTCAGTTTTTGGAAAGAACGATGGTGGAAAAGAATGGGGAATCGGAACCAACCCCTAGAAACACCTCAAAGTTCAACCACGTGAAAACTGGGACTAGGGCAGCATCCCAGGCCCGGGGCCAAAATCAAGCCCTCGAGTGGGCAACTTGGGCAACTTGGCCTCGGCTCCTGCGATTTGGTCCGAGGCAGCGGCTCGGTTTTCTGCACCGCGGACCAGTTCTCGGGGTGCGCGTGCATCGCCTGCAGGAGATGCGCGCCGTTTTGTTGAAGGAGTTGGTTGTTTTTCAGGGTTTTCAGGGGGATCCAAGAGGAAAACCGCAGCAGTCCCCTATGAAAAGAAACACCCATATGGGTGTGGCTCAAAATCAAACAAGAGAGGGGTTACGCAGGTTTTGGCCAGGGTTCCATTTTGGTACCAGTTTCTTGAGCCACAGCCATGGACCTAATGATCTTTTAAGGGGCCCAGCTCAAAGTCGACACAGCCGAGCACCTTTGTGAAAGTCTTTGGTTTCCCTGAGGCTGGAAGAAACACCCAGGTGCGTTTGCCTGATCTATTCGTTGATTTGTACCACAACGATAAGACTGAGACCCCCGTGTTTAGAAAGATGAGAGCGCTTCAGGCACTAGACTCACTAGACTTGTTTGTATTCTGTAGTTGGGATGTGTAGCTCAACAACCACTGTGTTGTGAGTTGTGAGACATGCAGACTGACGTGTGGAGGACTTACAGCTGAGAAACAATCTGTCATTTGTGGAGTTCCGTCGCATAGTCATTGCTGCATGCCTTTCTAAGTGACTGATCAATCACTTGCAAAGCAAGCGTTTCGTTTCATCAAATGCACGTCTCAAGCACGCGACCCATGCCTTCTAACATCAAACCAGGAGTTTGAAACTAGTTGGCTGAAAGAACCCGCCGGGTTTCGCAGGGATCATCCAGCTTTGGATCTGGCTTCCATACTCTTTGCCAAATTGACCGATCCAGGGTTTTTACGCGCTTGCCAAACCAGCCAGGTTCCGGCTTGGTCAACAAACCAAATCTGCTACGGCCCTCATTTTAGAACTCCTACCCTTGAAAATCCCGATGGATTTTTGGGGCTTCAAAATAACTTGCTTTGAGACCCTCTACAAGAACCAGGGGTTCGAATCTCCAGTCCCCCCCTAGGCCCTAGTCCAAACCACCAGCTATACCTGATCTTGATTGATACTCCCCCAGGACTCCGATCAGCGTCGCCTCAACCGCATCAGATGCAACCGTGAGGAAGTAAATGGCAAAGCACCACTGGAGAAAGAATAGAAGCCTAAGCTGCCGACCTTCCACTGCCCAGCTTCTGGAGCTATGGCTTCTCTCAGTTGTTCAGTCACCCTGGAAAAAAAAGGGAACCCTTTTTGGGGAAGTCCATTTTTAGTGGCACGGCCCAAAACAAAAGAGGGAAAAAGGGTGCCACTGAACAACTGAGTTCTTGACTCCACCCTAAAATCGAGTTTAAAAATGGGGTGAACGAATCTGGCGGCTCGGGTTCCAGAAATCCGCAAAAAGCACACAAACATTGTGTATATATATAGCTGTACCGCGTATACTAGGCATATGCATTGTGCACACCGAACTCCCTTTGAGCACCATTCCAAAACGGAACTACATTTCAAAGGGTTTATGGTGACCATTCACCAAAACTCCCGGTTGCCCAGTGCCCTAAGAAAACTGGAACTCGTGGATCCACCAAACAACTCTTGGGATTTGAAGCTTGGAATCCACTCAACATCTGGGCTATGGAGGGAAACACCCAAAAAGTATAACCAGACGCACTAACTACGATATTGTTCACCAACGCGAGTCTGGAGGTGCCAAATTAAGGGACCTTCACCGGTAGATTTTCGTTGAGAGACACCTTGTGGGTGGTTGAAACACATACCTGCCGCGCTCTGCGAGCAGCTGTTGGCAAATGATGCCATTGACAGATATGTTATGTTCCTTGCCTCTTGTCAGGTGCTTTCACTTGCAAGCTGATTCATCAGGTCTGCACCACTTACAACAAGCTCACCCGGGGAGACGGGATGAGAAGATCAGACGGTTTCCATGCAAAACACAAACCGGCGACTCAAAAACTGGACGGCCAACAAACAGAAGCTGATTGATTTCAAGCTTCGGGACCCCAGCTCTTGATGTCCCATGGCGGCCAAGCGGCACCATGCACCAAAAGAGTGGGATCAAGCAGCCCAAGACCGACTTCACCATGACGCGCAGCTCACCTTGGAAATACGAAGGAACGTGCCAACTGTTGCTTACATTTGCTGAAGCCCCCTGGATAAAATAAGACTATGCCCAGTGACAAATTCCCTTCAGACGTGGAACATAACAAATATTCTTAAGCAAATGGACGGTTGGACACGTTTCTGTGGGATGTCCATCGTTCGCCTCGAGAACCAACCGGGAAAAAGATTCTGACGAAAACATGCCTGTTTCTTGTTTGGTATCTGTGAGAGACAAGGCAACAGGAGAAACATCCATTTTGGGGGGTCCAACCTTAATCGAACATCCACAACCCCCTTTGCCCGGTAGAGGAGTCCTCCACAAGTGGAGTGTTGTTTTGCTTCCACAGGATTCCCCAGAGTTTCCTTAAAACATCAACCATAGGCCCTACCAAGGGAACCGATCACAAATGGGCCAAACAGGTCATGTTCTAATCCACCAAGAGGGGCAGCACAAAACCCCCTTGTTCCATCATGATTTTAGCAAAGAAGCAACTGAACGGGCCTGCCCTCATGATGCAACAGTGGCAAAAAAGGAGGGCCCCGGCGGCTATTGAGCCAACTGGCCAGCCCACCTCAAAAGAATCACTGGAAGCACTGGTTTGGGGGTCATCCAGATAGCTAGGTGCCAAAGGAACCCATTTGCTGAATTCCATTTCGGGTCACGCACGTTTATTCCCTTTGCACTGAGGGCCGCTAGCATTGGCGATGCACGAACATTACACCCGGCAAGCGCGTTCCACCATGGAGGCTTGCTCCCGCAACGGTACTTTCAAAGTGTGAACATGGCCGCTGTTAGACAAGTCGCCCTGGATTAATGCAAATTCGAATCTAGGTCCTCCAGTGGAGAGGTTAGAATAGGGGTCCCCTTCTTGCTGTAGTCTATTTTAGTAGGGGAACCCTCCCCAAAAATGGGTAAGAGGGCACTACTGTAACGTTTATTAGATAACCCGTCTGGGGTCCCCTGAGAAAGGGCCGGAAAGTGCTTGTACATCCATGTCCGCTGACGCCACCGACTTTCGAACTTGGCGTGCCATCACATTCAGCCGAGCAGCGGAAGACATTCATGAACCGCACCGCCCGTATCAATCGCGTCATCCGAAGGATTCGCAAGACCCGGAGCAAGGTGAGCATGGTGATGATCTGGTTGCTTTCCTCAAGGTGGTCAAAAATAGAAGAGCCCCAACATGGCTTGTTCTGGTAAATGGAAAGGACTAAACCCCTACGGTCCAATTCCTGGCAGCATAATTTTGCCAACTGGAGAAACAGCACACAATTGCGACAATTTTGCAGACTTCTGAGTGTCTCCAACTAGGACTTGGTCTCTTGTTTGGACCCGGGGTCGGTCACCTCAACAGGAAACCCAGGCGAAACTACCCAACTTGTGTGTGCGCGCCCCGATTTGGAGACCCCAACTTTGGGTTCTGGAGCCCGTGCAGCTAGCCTTCTGCCAAGCGTCGGGATCGAAGCCTCGGCGTGGTGTGGGGGGAACAATGGATCCCTTCATGGGGGCTGGGGGGGGGAGCCGGAGGGAAAAGGGGAGGACCTCCCCCTCCCTCCCAAGACCTCTCCACAAGGCCCACTGATGAACGAAATGGCCGCCCTTGCAACTGGGTCGGTTTTTTTCAAGCGGGGGACTAGATGGGATCATTTTGCCAAATACCCTTGTCAAATATCCAGCAGCGGGTGGCGGTACGCTGAAGACCTTTGACTAGGTCCTCCAGTAGAGAGGTTAGAATAAGGGTATCCTTTTTTTCTGTAGTCTATTTTAGTAGGGGAACCCCCAAAACAGGGTAAAAGGCCACCTAGCTGGGGGACCTGCTTGAGAGTCACATCTGCCCGGGTCGCCTGGCGCGCCTAGACCTGCAGATTT